TCCAAGCTCTAAGTTGAGCTTGGGTTTAGGGTTTTAGGGTTTTAGGGTTTAGGGTTTAGGGCTTAGGATTTTAGGGTTTAGGGTTTAGGGTTTAGGGTTTAGGGTTTAGGGTTTAGGGTGACTGAAGAGCTAAGGAAGCGGGTCCGAGCTCTGCGAGAGCTGTACAGGCTGGCCATCATGATGGCCACGTGTATCAAGGCCCTCGGGTTCTTAGTAGGGAAAACCCTAAACCCGAAATCCTAAACCCTAAACCCTAAACCCTAAACCCTAAACCCTAAACCCTAAACGGTCCTTAGTAGGGAATGCCCTAAACCCTTTAAGGGATGATATTCGTGTAGCTCATTCCCTCACTCCCTTCTTAGACCCAGCCAGCAAGGCCCTCCTGTGGTGCTTTCTACTATGCTTCGCGGTGATGACCGTGCCTTTGGAGCAAGATAACCCGCAAGGGCCAATAGCATTATAGCTTCCTTGGGGACCGGATGAGCCCTGAAAGGGTTTATGGTTCAGGGTCTACATCGACCCCAAGTTGCAAGGGTTCGTTTGATCCCAAAAGCCATGCGCCCTCATAGGGATTATGGAGCAACGCGGGGGTTTAGGACTCAAACAGCGGCTTAGCTCCGTTTTCGAGGTGTGGGCCATGCTCATGGTGGAAGTCGTCAACCCGTATGTGAGAGAGATGCACCAAGACCACGGCTTCTTCAGCAGCTGCCATCCACAATGCACGCGTGCGGTGTCTAGCGTTGCTCGGGCTTAACTTGATCTCTGGGGGCCCTTCACCCTTAACTCGAACTTGAACCCTACACCCCTTTAGAATACAAAAGGGGCCAGGCCTTGGGGACGACATGAACCCTGAAAGGGTTTATGGCTCATATACCTTCATAGGAATTGTCGTAGTCAGGGTATAGTGACCCCAATTTTAGGGTTCATTTCGTCCCCAAGGGAAGCTGAGGTGATGGATGCGAACTTGCTGCTTTTCAAGACGGTGATTGCTGGCGATAGCTGGGGGGAGGTCGCCGTCCCCGTCATTGAGGAACGCTTGGCTGAAGGGTGGCCGAGGGGGACGGAGGGCTGCAAGAGACCTTATAGGGGCTCGGTTGAAAGCCTCAGGTTTAGAGATCGGTTTAGGGTTTAGAGTGGAGGGTACGGGATAATTAAGCCTAGTTAAGGTTATTTCAGGGGGGAACCTAGGGGGAGGGTATAGTATAGAAGAGGGAAGCGCATGAGTAGTGGGAGGTTCTACGGCTTATGTCGGTTGCTGCTGGCCTTGCCCAGCAGGAACATCCAGTGACCGCCATCGTCTTCATCGGCTCTTTGCTAACGTTGGTCTTTGGCGTGCTGAACCTTATTGCATCTCTTCACAAAAAGCTCGGAATTTAAGGTCACGGGCGTTTAGGAATTTCGTGGCTGCTTGTGTTTGGGTGTCTGGGGGCGGGCTTAGTTGCGTCAGCGAAGTCCTTTCCCCACGCAGAAATGCACCAATATCTACCACTCCAAGCCGGAGAGCACCCACCGACGACGACGACACCAAACAACGCACACCAAGCAACATCCAACAACCAACAAACAACAACCGAGCACAGCAGCAGACAACAAAGAGCGGCCACATGAAGGAGCAACACGCTACAAGCTCCCCGCTCCTTGATGATGCAGCAGGTCTCGGCCAAGCGGCCCCCCCCCCGGCTAGAATTTCCAAAAGCATGGAGCACACTCGGGGGAAGAAGGGCTCGGCCCAAAATTAGGGCCTCAGTGCACCAGGTGTGAGCGAGTAACCGTTGCTCTCCATATGGCGGAAGGTAACGCGCACCCTCCAAAGTGCCAGCCATCAGCCAGCGTGCAGCTCCAGCATCCATTGAGCCAGCTGGCAGAGATGTCCCCCTCAATGAGGCCGGGATCGCCACGGGTGCCTTCATCAACTGCAGCGGTGTCGCCGTCAGCCGTGACGAATCATCCAGGATGCCTTCTTCGGCTGTGGCCAGGACGCCCCTCCTCCCGGGTTTAGGGTTAAGGGCTTCGGGTTTAGGCTTTAGGGTATCTACATCAACTTCGTCGATGCACGAATATAGTCCATGGTGCTGCATCGGCTGGCAGGGGTCCGTACCGGTGCCGCCAACGGAAACCCAAAATACGTTGCACATCCACTGCAAGCGTCGGCCACGACGTCACCCTACGGTGCCGTCAACGATGCTCGGGTCGTCAGCAGTGCCGCCATCCTCATGGGTCGCTCTCCAGACGACGCCCCAACCACCCACGGTGTCGTCATCAGCTATCAGCTGTAACAGCTTGGAACGCGACCCTCAACGGTGCATCATCTTCGGCAGCTTCATCAGACAAGTCGCCAGGAATGGTGCCATCAGCGACGCACGAGCCGTCCGCAGCGACGGCGCCGTCAACGATGCTCGCATCGTCCGCGGCGCCTTCATGCCGTCAGCGATGCGAGAACCGAGCGTGGTGTCGCAAATGCGCAGGAGGGCAGCGGTTGAATGAATTCAATTCCACGTGGTTTTCGACCAACGTGGGAATTGAACGAGTCCCGCCGCCAAAGGATCGTGTGGGCCACGAAAAGACTTGTGGTTGAAAAGGCTTGTGGCCGAAACGCCTCGAGCGAAAAGGGCTCCGGATCCACCCTAAACCCTAAACTACCATTTGCTTAAGAACCCCAAAAGAATAAAAAAAAAATAATCCCTATATTGATCTATATTGCCCTTAATAAGGAAATGTTGTTTTGTGTTTTTCGGTGTTCTTAAGCAATTAGTATTAAATACATGCTTGAACTCAAGCCTTGAACCAGTATCCTGCCGGGTCACAGATGCTTGGGTTCACGATTCGCACAGCCGAGGTAGCCGTTGTTGTAGACACCTTTGCGGATGCTCGGATGAATGACATCCACAGTTTAGCCGAAGAGATGGAGGACGAGATCGAGCATGATCGACACTTTGTTGCACTATAGGTAGGGCCTTGAAGCACGTTATGTTTCCCAATCTTGGGAGTCAGAAGATCTTGCTATCCAGGATGTTTTCTTCGAAGCTTTACATGGCCAACCTAGTGCAGCATTCCCTTAACATCTAACTCAAACAGGTTTGTCTAAAGGATGCGGAAAGAATGGGAAGAAGACCCTCAACCCTAAACCCCTAACCCTAAACCCTAAACCCTAATTAAACCCTAAACCCTAAACCCTATAAACCGTATAAACCCTAAACCGGTCCCAAATCGTCAAACTCTTGCACCCAAGCCAAGGAAAAGAGCTGGCGAAGCTGTTCAAAAGAAGCTGGACCATTCTCGACTAATTGCTTAAGAACCCCCCCCAAAAAAAACAATAGGGCTTATTATGTGTTTATTCTTTTCGGGTTCTTAAGCGAATAGTCGATTCTCGAAGCATTTTCTGAAGGGGTCCCGGCTTTCAGTGATTTGCTTAGAGTATAGGGCGTGTCGTAGCGGGACAAGTTTTCTCAGGGTTTCGGCAACTGCTTGTAAACCTAGTTGGCTCAAATTTCTGCGGGAATCCTAAACGGGCCATATCTTCGGAAACTCCCCAGCTGTCAGGAATGGACCAGGATGGGAGCGGGCAATTGACGCTACAAGAGCTAATGGAGGGAGCTCGTACCTTGGGGACGAAATGAACCCCAAAAGGGTTTAGGGCCTAGGGTTTAGGGTTTAGGGTTTAGGGTTTAGGGTTTAGGGGTTCATATGCCTTACTTGGAGCCAAGGTACTGACTCAAGCTTCCAGAGCCGGCTAAGGGTCATGGACACTCGTCCCCTTCAGAGTGAGAAGTAGGGTTTTTCAGCTCGTGGCTGTAGGCTCTAGGGTTTATAGGATTTGTTTTTTGGGGGGTTTGCAGGTTCTTACGTCTTTTTTTGGGGTTTGGGGTTCTTAGTACGTGTTGTTGCTGTTGCTCCTGGGAAGCGTACAACAACTCAGGACATTGATGTGCAGGATTTAGAGCAGCTGTTTTGCATGATCGACCAAGATCCATGCTTTTTCAGCAGTCGAACTTTTCTTTTTGGCTTCTTCTTGATGTTTGGATGCAAAGGCAGTTTTCACGTCAGGGCTGTCCCCGGATACCCTAAACCCTAAACCCTAAACCCTATATCCTAAACCCTAAACCCTATATCCTAAACCCTAAACCCTAAGCCCTACACCCTAAGCCCTAAACCCCAAACCCTAAACCCGAAGAGATTGAAGGATCGCTCCGGTACCGTGGAGGTGTCGGAGTTTATCGGACCTCTAAGCAGGTGGGGGGGGGTTTGCGAAAATAGGGGGACCCCTAATTTAGGCCGTGAAATAGTAGGATTCCCTCATAATTCCACTAATTGCTTAAGAACCCCCCCCCCCCCCCCCCCCCCCCCCCAAAAAAAAAAACACAATGATCCCTATATTACCCTTATAAGGAAGAATAAGTTTTTTGTTATTGCTGGGGGTTTCTTAAGCAATGAGTAACAACGAGGACCCCAAGAAGGTACCCCCGAATTTCCGAAAACCCCCAGGTGGGCGCATGACTCCAAGACAGCTCCGCGCTTTATCAAGTACAACCTCATGCAGACCATGCTTCTCAGGGATGCTTGGGAATATTTTCCAATTTTTGCTGGGACCGGGAGTAGGCCCGTTTTCTTTACTTTTTTTTAGGGTTGGGGTTCCCTTATAATCCCCTTAACAAAAAGGGCACCCTTTTTATTCCTAGGTTACTCGGTCTAGTTTGGGTATTCTATTTGCTAAGAAGCAGCTACAGTTAAAATGCTTGTAAGTGTTCCAAGTTCACGTCAGGAATCTCCAGGAGGAACTTCACGAAATTGTCCTGGAGGGCTTTCGGCAACTGGCTGTGCGCATCGACAGCTTGACAGTGCCCGCGATGGTCAAGGAAAACCCAGTGCTTGAGTCTCACTGTGGCGCACTTTTGGCTGCTCTTTCTTGAGCTCCTGGTAGGGTTTAGGGTTGAGGGTTTAGGGTTTATGGTTTAGGGTTGAGGGTTTAGGGTTTAGGGGTTTCGTGCATTGCAGGTTTGGGTGCAGGGTGTCGGCCGCTGAAGAAACCAAGGTGGATGTGCGGGCTACCCCATCCGACTCAGCAGCGCTTCAATACCCAAGCTCCGTCGAGGGGGTCGCTTAGCTGCAGACGCACTCAGCCAAAATTGAACTACATTCGCCACAACTCCGGAGAACCCACATCCTTTGCTTAAACGGAATGCTCCTTCACTCGGGAGGGATGCTACTCTGGGAGCGTTACTCATGAGACAGACTTTGGGCTACGAACTTGTTGAAGACCTTGGTTGAGACACGGAGCAGTTTAGGGTTTGGGGTTTAGGGTTTTGGGTTTAGGGTTTAGGGTTCAGGGGAAAATATAAAACTCTCACCCAACAAAAGCCCTAAACACACCATCAATTTCAAGGCTTGCCACTGTCACAGTTTCTCCACCAGCAAAACCTCGCTCCCAGATGAGCCGTGCCCCTCCCCACTTGGTTCCTTCAGCTTACGCGGCGCGGGCTTGCGTCGCAGTGGTTTTTTTTCCGGAACAAACGAGATAGTTTCAGAGACTCTTTTTTCGGTCTTGAGAGCTGGAAGAGTCTGCCTGGCTCAGTTGGGAGTCGGACTCCTCGGTAATCCCTATTCCTAGTAGTAGAGTAGGTAACCTTTAACCTTTTTTGGGGTAGTATAATCCCCTTTTAATCCCAAAGGTTAATTTTAGTTCCCCCAGGTTACTGGACAACTAAGCATTAAGGGCTGTTAGTACAAGGCGGAGCATGCCAATCTGACACTCGATTCAAAAGTCGTAGTTCTCTACAATCGAGTCCTTCTGGGGAGTCCTTATTGCTAAACCCTAAACACTAAACCCTGAACCCTAAACCCTAAACCCTATAGGGACCCAGAAAGGGGAAATCTACAGTTTTCAAAAAGGACACGAGTCCCAAATCGCTGAGGCCCGGATTTTTTTTTGGGCTGTGGGAAGGTTTGCTGGACGTTCCAGTCCACGCACTCCTTTCGGATAATGTTACAATCTTACAGTATTTAACATTTTCAATTTTTTAATAGTACAACATTCCATTCTCATAGCTTGTTTGGTAAGAACATATTCTGATTATAGCAGTATAAACGTAAACAAGCTTAATACTTTCTGGTTGTTTGTTTCCGCTAGTTTTACGGTCTTCTGTTTCTGTCTTCTTCTATTCTTCGAATATTCGGGTTTAGTTTCCTAATCACGACTTAGGTAGAGGAGTCTTGGGCAATTCATCAGATGCAGGATCTGCGCCCTACATCGTTAACTCTCTGGCAGAAACGTCATGCACCACACATGCGCTGATGGGCTTGGTGCGTGTATGTGCTTAAAGATGCAGTCTCAAAGCGCTGAGCCCTTATAGCAGCCAGCCTAAATCTAACCCTAAACCCTAACCCTAAACCCTAAACCCTAAACCCTCGTACCAAAAACGCCGAAACCCTACGCGAGCTGAATTTCGGATCGCGGGCCCAGGCCTACGACATGGAGCCAGGGGTCCTTCAACCACCTTGCTCACCGCATCCCGTGGACTTTCTCACCCCCTTGCCCCCGGCATCTTCGAAAACAGATGTCCCTTGGCTTTCTTCTGGCTGGCTCTCGGGACGCATTAACCTCTTGGGTTTGGGTAGAAACTACAACTCGGAGCCTAGAAATTTAGAGTTTTCGGAGAGGTTCAGAAGTCAGCCAAGGTCCTTGCAGTCAACACAATCCAGGCTGCTCGATTCCGATAGTTTGAAGGCCCTTGACTTAGGTCTTAAGCCCTGAAGGGCGAGCTGAGGCCCTCAGCAAAGTCCTCAGAGTCTAGTTCACAGGAACCTAAACCCCAAACCCTAAACCCTAAACCTTCCCTAAACCCTGAACCCTAAACCCTAAACCCTACCCTAAACCCTAAACCTAAACCCCAGGGTTAGGATAGTTCACAGGGACAGCTGAGGCCATGCTCGACTCTGCGATGGTGAGACTCGAGGCCAAGCTGGATGTGCTGCTGGCTGGAAACCGTGCCAGACCCAAAGAGCTGCCCTGGCATGCCTGGTATCCCCATTTAGGGTTAGAGTGTAGGGTTTAGGGTTCAGGGCTTAGGGCTTGGGGCTTAGGGTTTAGGGTTTAGGGTTTCGGGTTTAGGGTTTAGGGTTTTTGGGTTTAGGGTTTTAGGGTTGAGGGTTAGGGCTTGGGGTTTAGGGATTGCAGCCTTGGAATCTTGAGTTCCTGATCAACCGAGGCCCATGTGTTGGCAGGGCGCAGAAGACGATGAACGGCTTGAGCAAGGCCGTCGCAAGTCGTTTAAGAGGACTCCCAATGTTGCAACCTTCCAGAAGATGTACATGGAAAAGGGCCGAAGTGCGACGCAGACGGAAGCTTGGCTGCAAGCTTTAGGGTTTAGGGCTTGGGGGTTTAGGGTTTAGGTGTTTAGGGGTTTGTGGCATGTCATCATGTTATGCTGTTTCAGATGCTGTCAGCAGTTGTGGGGGGTGCCCGGTGTTTCCTCAGGCCTAGAAGCCCGAAACCCTCAACCAGCATCAGTTGTGGGGGGTACCCGGGGTTCCCTAAGCCCTAAAACCATAAATCCTGAACCCTAAACCCTAAACCCTAAACCCTAAACTCCTAAATCCTAAGCCCCAAACCAACATTAGCTGCTCAGGATGAGCGGCCTCCCAAAAGGAGGAGCAGGCAAGCCTCCTCCGAAGAAGGGGCCGATGTTAAGCCACCTCCACAGAAGCACCGCTCCACGGCGCGACATATAACTAGCTGCTAGTTTCACTCCTCTGCTGGCTCAAACGGCCATTTCCCCCCCCCCCCCCCCCCCCCCCCGCCCGCCCCCAAACTCTCTGCCCTTCACCGCAAGCTCCCATCGTCGGATCGTAGCATTTCTGATCGACGCCAAAAGGCGCGAGCCGAGGCCACACATTCACGAGAAAAGGGAGAATGCCAGGCACTGGCTTCGGGCTTCGCAGGGTTTAAGTGTTTGATCTTGATGAAATACATCTCAACATACAGACAGATATATGTATGTGTATATATATATATATGTATGTATAAGCATATATACATACATCAGAGGGTTGTGTTTGCATTCATACGGGTAGATATGTGTAACAAGTACTCTCGCTCTCTCTGTCGTTCTTTGTTTGTTTCTTTGTTGCTTTAGTTTTCTTTATTTGTTTATTGATGTTTTTCGTTATTGCTGTGTGTTTGTAGTTTTTTTCGTTTTGTGTGTAGGTCCTCTCAAGTATATATTGGTATACGCATACCTATATATATATATGCATATGTATATATATATGTAGATGTATACATACGTGTGTAAACAGTATACATATATACATAAGTACAGAAATACATATGTATGACATGCATACACAATACCTATGTACACCTGTACATCTATACGTACATACATATGCATATATATATATAATATATATATATATATATATAATAATATAATATAATATAATATAATATAATATAATATAATATAATATAATATAATATAATATAATATAATATAATATAATATAATATAATATAATATAATATAATATACTATAATAGAATCTAATATATAATATGTATAATATGTATAATATGTATAATATGTATAATATGTATAATATGTATAATATGTATAATATGTATATACATAGGTCTCATAAGAAGGTACCACAGCACACTAGGGGACAAAGAACATCGACTGAATTCGGACAGAATTCCCGTGCGGCCCACAGCCAAGAGACACTGTCTGTCCCTTGAAGCCGCAAACCCATCAGTTACTCTCCCTGTTTGGGGTTTAGGGTTTAGGGTTTAGGGTTTAGGGTTTAGGGTTTAGGGTTTAGGGTTTAGGGTTTAGGGTTTAGGGCTTGGGCTCACTGTGCTTAGAGACGCTCCAGCCCCTAGTTGCATGAGACATCCTCACACTCCAAACCGTAGAGCGACATCAGAGCACGAGCCCTCCGCTTGCTGCTGCAGTCATGCAAGGCGCGGCCAACGGGGGGAGGGGCCGGCAGAGGGAACTGAGAGTTTCCCTGGGGTTGCTGTTTGATTCTTTGTTTGTCTTGATGTACAACCCGAAGGAACTTAAGAGCATCAACTGCAACTATCTCTAAGAATCCTCAACCCTAAAACCCTAACACCCTAAAACCCCTCAGCCCTAAGCTTACTGGTTCTCAAGGGGAGTTTCCGAATGGAGAGGCGGATGCCCAGGGTTTCAGGGCGAGTGCCTTGGCTTGAGGTTCAACCAGAAGAAATCTCAAAAGCAGGGTTTAGGGTTTAGGGTTTAGGGTTCAGGGTTCAGGGTGTAGGGTGTAGGGCTTAAGGTTTGGGGTTTGGGAGTTGGGGTTTCGGGGTCTATTCTTTGGTGTGTTGGTTTTCTATAGGTTCTTCAGGTGGGGCTCTGGGGTCTACAGGGCTCAGGGATCTCTGCACCCTAAGCGCTCTAAACACTCAACCCTCCACCCTCATTCCCAAACCCTAAACCCTAAACCCTAAACCCTAAACCCTAAACCCTAAACCCTAAACCCTAAACCCTAAACCCTAAACCCTAAACCCTAAACCCTAAACCCTACACCCAAAACCCTAAACCCTAAACCCTAAACCCTAAACCCTAAACCCTAAACCCTAAACCCTAAACCCTAAACCCTAAACCCTAAACCCTAAACCCTAAACCCTAAACCCTAAACCCTAACCCTAAACCCTAAACCCTTGCCATCTAAGCCATTTTGTTCTTGGCAAGGCCTGGGTGGCACCGGGGCCCAGCAGTCCAAGGAGTCGATGCGGCAGGGTTCAGGGTTTAGGGTTTAGGGTTTAGGGTTTAGGGTTTAGGGTTTAGGGTTTAGGGTTTAGGGGTAGTGTGTCTAGTTTTTGAGCAAAGGCGTTCGAAGCTTGCGGCATTCGTGCCCCTAAACCCTAAACTTCTCCGGAAGTTTGCAACCTGGGAAGGATAGCTCAGGTCTTTTGAGCCTTCCGCGGGAAGGCCTAAACTTCTTCAGGGCATGTGGGTTTCGGATCCGCTGGCCTGTGAGCTTCTATACATGTCAGCCCCCAAGCCCTAAACCCCAAACCCCAAACCCTAAGCCCCAAACCCCAAACCCCAAACCCCAAACCCCAAACCCCAAACCCCAAACCCTAAACCCTAAACCCTAAACCCTAAACCCTAAACCCTACACCCTAGCCTTTCATAGGACTGCTCCTTCCAAGCCGGCTCAGTGGCTGGAGCCCCGCTGCGGGTAAGCTGGTCCCGGGGCCTCAGCATACATTCGGGCTGAGGGTTGGCGTTTGGGGTTTAGGGTTTAGGGTTTAGGGTTTGGGGTTTGGGGTTTGGGGTTTCGTGTTTCGGGTTTAGGGTTCTGGGAGTTTTTAAGGCATTGTTGGGGGCATGTGTTAGGGCTTGAGGTTTTTTGTCTTTGTTGTTTCGGGGAGGGGGGGGGGTGCGGGCATTTGATTACATTTGTGTAAGTGTTTTGGTGGAGGGGAAAGGGCTGCTGTTCTGTTTGGGTGATGGTGCTTATAAGGGTTTAATGTTTTTGGGTGTCTTGTGGTTTCGCAACCCTAAGCCCCGAACCGTTTGGGGCTTAGGAGTTTTGAGGCTGGGTCTTCTGGTGATTCCTAGGCCTACGCACCTCTTCCCCCTCCCCCCAAGCCTGATAGAAAGCCTTGCCCTGCAACATTGGAAGCCCTTAGCCGCCTTAGCCCAGCAAAACCCTAAACCCTAAACCCTAAACCCCGCAAGAGTCCAGCAAACGTGCAAGAACCCCTCATATGGACCTCAAACCCAAAGCCCTAAACCCCCAGAACCCTAGATAGGCCAGAAGCTCAAAGCCTCATACACCTGTGACCCCAATCCCAGCACAAGACCCCGAAAACCCCTACACTCTAAACCCTTAACCCTAAACCCTAAGCCCTAAACCCTAAACCCTAACCCTAAACCCTAAACCTCATACACCCAAGGGACCCCCCTGGCCGCCTGGCAAGCCCCAAGTCCGCAACCCTCCGCCGCTGGCCCTCCCAGTCCACAAGCCCAACTGTCTCACCTTGTGAGGCCTTGATAAAGGCAATCTTCCCTAACATTAGGGTTTCGGGTTTTAGGATGTATAGGGTTTCGGGTTTAGGGTTTAGCAACTTGTCGGGTGTTTTTTCGTGTTGCAAGGGTTTAGGCTTCTGGCCGCTCCAGACTTCATTAGGAGAAGGAATCATCGGGAAGACATGGAGGTTGCAGAAGTGGAGGTTCAGGGTTTAGGGCTTAAGCTTTTCCTTCCCAAGCCACGTCATAGACCCTAAACCCTAAACCCTAAACCCTAAACCCTAAACCCTAAACCCTAAACCCTAAACCCTAAAACGAGGGTTTTTTGGGTCCTGCCTCGAAGCCTTGCCTCTTCCGCGCGGCCTTGGCGCCCCTCATGGGCCAGGCTCCCTTGAGCCTCAGTAGTTGAGTGAGCACACTTTACACTTTTTGGGATACTCTAATCCCGTATAGAACCCTAAACCCTAAACCCTAAACCCTAAACCCTAAACCCTAAACCCTAAACCCTAAACCCTAAGCCCTAAGCCCTAAACGCCCCTATAGAACCGAAAGTGTACACTTTTTTGGGGGCTGATGAACTCGGCAACTAAGGAGCCAAAATTGCTGCTCGAAGAGCAGCCTGGGCGAGCCCGAAGCGCCTCCAGCTCCGAAGGAGCTGGAAGGGTTTAGGGTTTAGGGTTTAGGGTTTAGGGTTTAGGGTTTAGGGTTTAGGGTTTAAGGTTTAGGGTTTAGGGCTAGCTCCGAAGGAGCTGGAGGATGAGGAGCCCGAAGCCGCCGCCAGCGAGGCACCCCATGCCAGCGGGGGCCTGGCAGATGCCAAGATCCAGGCGGGGCCCAAACAAAAGGGTTTACCCTAAACCCTAAACCCTAAACCCTAAACCCTAAACCCTAAACCCTAAACCCTAAACTGGCACCCTTTTCACAAACAGGGACCCCCTCCCCTTCTTAGGTGCCTCCGAGCTCGAACCTGAGGGAAGGCATCCGCAGCATGCCTGCAGACCTCACGCAGAGCGGCAAAGAGCTGCTGCGCGGGATCTCCTTGCGCAAGACGCTGCAACAGGGAGGTGGCTAGGCCACCGACTCAGCAAAGCTCTTTCCTTGTTTGAAGCCTTTTGTCCTGGGCCTTTCTACGCTACACTACCATAACCGCTCTTAAGGTACATGAACCATACACCCTTGTCACTTAAGGCATCGAGGCCCCAAGAGCCAGCCCCCCCCCCCCCCCCCCCCCCAAAAAAAAAGAAAAAAAAAAAACGCGCGCGCAGTTCCCAGTCCTTGGCCGAGGGAAGCTTTGGAGATACAAGCCCACGGACTTGGATCTTGTGAAGCGAGTGTCTGGGGTTGATTTAAGAATGTAGGTTTTACACTGTTCTTTGTGATTTAGAGTTTAGGGCTTAGGCTTTATGGTTTATGGCTTGGGGGGTCCCTTACCCCTCAACCCTCTAAACCCCCTGAAGTTTCATTTTTTCAGGAGCCATCCCCCCCCCCCCCCCCCAATCACCCTCCCCCAGGAAAAGCTGTACTCCTACTCATCTCCGGTCCACGAGCTTGACATGCTCCCTGACGGCCCACTAATTCCGGGCATGTTTTCAGGGCTTAGGGTGTTTTGGGTTTAGGGTTTAGGATTTAGGGTTTAGGATTTAGGGTTTAGGGTTTGTTTCGGGGTCACAGGGCTTTTCACGGTTTGGGGGGTTTAGCATGAGCCCATTTCAGCGGCGAAGGGCGCACATTTTGTT